CTGAGTGCATGTGAAAATTATACTATGAAAATAAATCAGAAATTATACATATAACTATAATTACATGTATAAAAAACACAGGACTGAAAAGCTTATTACTGTTGAATCTCAAGCTCTTCAAAGTTAGGAAGCACAAAATTTAAGCCTGCCTGCTTTCAACTGTCTTTAAAACACCCTTTTGCAGTTGCTTTATGACAGTCCTTATGTACATGACCACAGTCTGTTTTTTTCCATAGAATCCAAGTTCTATATAAAACAGAGAAAGGACAACTGTAACTATATTTTTTTCCCTTCCTCGTTTGGCATTCACTGTACAATACATATCTTCAGAGTAGAAGCACACTCGCCAAGGCAGCTGTCTCTGCCATGAAACCATTCCTTCTTCTTCTATGAAAATGCATACTGACTGGGACGGAAAGAGAAGAGAAGGCGAGAAGCAGACTCGCCAAGGCAGCTGTCTCTGCCATGAAACCATTCCTTCTTCTTCTATGAAAATGCATACTGACTGTTTGGGACGGAAAGAAAAGAGAAGCAGGGCTACGCAAGAAACCTTAATTCTAACCTGTAATTTTGAGCTTTTGAATTTGTCACCTTCATGTTCTTCTTGTAAAGCAGTGGAGGGGCCTTTTACATTTTTAACAAAGCAAAACAAAATTTAAAGTTGCTTCCTCATATTGCATCATCCAAACATACGCTTGGTTCATACACACGACAGACCTTTAACACTAATCCGAGCCGTGTAGGCGTAACTCCTAGGTTGCCATCCTCTGTAAGGACTAACAGCCAGGAGAAATAGGATGCTTTTCCAGTATAGGTTTTAGAGACTTCTGTTCACAGCAAAGCATTCACGAGTGTGAAGAATACTGGATTCCATTCCAGGTCCACATGACCTTACAGACATGAACCTTCTGCACCTTCCCCACAAGAATGACCCTTTTTGCGCCATTCCTTTTAACATGTTCTGTTACCAGTCTTGTCCTATCCCTGTCTTCAGTCCCCTTCCCAATCTTCTCTCATTCACATCATCGCTTTTATTCACAGGCTTCTCACCCAAATTCCAAACTCCTTTTTTCTTTTTTTTTTCTTCAATCTAGTCTCATCCACCTTTCAAGATACTCAACACCACCCCCTTTTTCCACCAAAGTCAACGCCATGTCTCCAGTCTCCTTCACAGTATTCTCAGTTCTCCTCCCATCAATGGAACTGTACATGGAACATCCACTTCTACTTATTTTAAAAATCAGTAAGAAAGCTGTATTTTTAAGCAGCCTAGGGAAAATTTTCCCTTTTTACAGGAGTAAGATAAATCAAGTGTTTCAATACTAAAAGAAATGGAAAACTACTACTCATTAGCTCAGTTCTTGTGAGCTCCCAGCTTTAGCCATACTGATCAGTCCAATTCATCAGACACAGTAATGACTCATTTTTACCACAATCAATCAAAATGACCTGGAGGCGTGATCTGAACCACCAATGACTAATTAATCTCCACTATTTTTAAGCTGCACCAAATTCAGTGATGATCTGCTGATCATCACTGTTCATCTTAACATCAGTTCTGGCATCAGTACAAACCTTTGGGCATCAGAGCAACTTACAGGAATTTCCTTACAGTAATCCATTATGAGGGGAATAAGTGTGGTGTAACATAACTTCAGTTCAAGTCAAAATTAGTACCTTCTGGAAAGATACGAATAAAATTGGATACGGTTATGAAAATATAGAATTTGTTCTTAATAGGAGAATTTACCCATGATTGATGGATTGGATTGATGGATACTTAAATTGCAACAATTGCTCAAAATCATGCATTAAGCCCTGAGCCTACGAAAGCAGCCACGGAACCTCACCCTAAGGAAACCTTTCAAGGTCAGGACTTAAATGCATTGATAAAACAAGCATAATAATCTTTCCAAGACACTGGAGACAAAATGAGAATGCTACCATTCTTTTGGACAGAAGGACATTCATTTTAGAACTGACTCAGTAAGATAAAAATCTCAAAACTAGAGACCAGTTTGAAAAACTTCAACCTGAAGACTGCAATTTGTGGTTAAGTACAGTAGTATTCACAAGTTGTTAATAGAAGTAGAACTTCAAAACCAAAATTTGAATAGTAAACCTCTCCCTTTTAAGGACTGATCACGAAATACTTTTCCTCCTTCACAGACCTGTAATCAGATAATTCATCAAATTTTACCAAATATGATGAAAACATATTTGGTCTCTTACTATTATAAACCTGTCATGGTTTCTGCATACAGAGTTATCTCTGGAGATGATGGTACACCCGATACCCCAAATTAAGGAAAGATCTAGAAGAATTTTAGAAAAGAACAACAAAACTTGTGCTTTGGACTTTAAGAATATTCTTATTAATCTAATGCACAGAAACTATGGCAAATGTGTCAAAATATGACCTTCCTCTCATTTTGTTAGAAGAGCTTCATGCAGCAAGTAAGTGGCTTATATATTTCATGCTTTGCTGCACTGAACCCAACACAACTTTGTCAATGGACAATAATTTAGACCAAGTTAATTGCAGTATTTGAGATCATAACATCTTTTTCCAGAAGTGAAAAAAGGCAGTAAGTTTTCTTAGTCTCCTCGATAACACAAGCATTGGATAAGTATCAAGTATTGTTTTGTTGTGTTTCCTTGTAGCTAGCTTATTGCTTCATTCTCCACCTAATGCACAAAGGGCATGACAGTAATGGTTTGAAACTTTACATGCTAAAAATAGCTTTGTTTGGGTTTTTTGGGGCTAGAACAATCAAAAGTGTTTTAACAAAACAAGACATTAGTTTGGCAGAGTATTCACGGTCAGTGACTCTGTAGCTCTTTCCTAATCTACAATTCAGCATTAGCTGTCTCTAGGCCCAAAACAGTGAATATGTTTTAGCATTTATAAACTTTATTCTTTACACATCATTGACTACTCAGATAAAAAGGAGGACAAGTTTTATTTCTGTTGAATCTTGCCTGAAGGATATACCATAAACAGCTGACGCAGATTACTACCACATCTCCTGTTCATTTACATCCACCCATTGGTGGATACGCTCCTTGAAAACAGGATTTCTGATCCAGAACTGAAATCTGCAGTGAAGGTTTTATTTGGGATGACAGCGTTTTGGTAAACTCATTTTCACAGTCCATTAGCCCAGACACAGCTTTATGTAAGATCAGTGATCACTAAAGTTATTTCAGAGTCTTTCGGTTTTGGTTTTAATAGAAGTTGTCCACAGTTATTGTGGAAGACTTCTGAAAGTGATGTAGAGTGGTTTTTTTACCTAGGCGATCTCTTACAGCCTATGGCCACTGAAAGGACATGCAATTATATAAAGCAGCATACTCTTCTCTCCCCCCCAAAAAAACCTCTGCAAGAATAGCACCTACTGATGTCATCATTGGTTGATATCAACCTCTGGCTCTTGTGCAGGCCATGGGCTGTCTAGCCCACAGATGAGGAGCCCATTATTTGCTCAAAGGAAATGCCAAGATGAAGCAGGAAGGAGGTGACAGTGGCTACTGAAACTCCCTGCTTAAAACCTTACTCAAAATTCAAAGAGAGAGTAACTATTCAAGCAGAAGCTGGTGTTCTTAGAAATGGGAAAGTGCCAAGAAGTTCAGAAAGCAGAGGCAGACAGCCGACAGAACAGTGCATACCAGCTCCACTTAAGAACATGGTGTTGCCTAGCACCTACAAGTTGCTCTTTCTGCTCACTTCTGCCTCCCAAAACCAGAAGAAAACAAAAACAAAACAAGCAAACAAAAACTTTATCCTAAAACTTCAGCCCTGGCAAAGAGCATTTCCCATTGGCAGTATCATAATCCCTTTTGTAAAAAAGGATTCCATGGACTCTCACAGAGAGAAGCTCATACCCTTCATACACAAATAATTGCAAAATGTAGGTCAGGAACTGCACAGTCCCAAAAGCTAATTTCTCTTCCTCTGACTTTTAACCTGTCTAACTTTTGGAAGATAAATGCTCTGGGAAGTTCCTCCTTTTGATCACCTTCACATCATTGCCAATATCTTATAACAACCCCAATAAGAACTTCAATTTTTCTAGGCAACAACAGTAGAAAACTGCAATGTATCTCCAACGTTTGTCACTGTCCAAATCATAGGAAAGAAAGAAAAAGGAACAAACTGAAGTAAATTTTTATTAAAAAAACTCATCTAGTTATTGCCTATACCAGGAAGTCGAAGGAAAATGTTTACAACATTTATAAACAATTCCAGCTTCCCAGATAACTAACATGTGATTTCATCTCTCTCCAAATTATTTTTTCATGCACTATTGAAATTTCATTTCTGCCTAAGACGTAATGGCGTTTTCAAAGAAAATAGTCATCCAAGGCTGTGGGTTGGCAATCACAATTACTGGTAAGTCAGCAGAGCTGTCAAGAGTATTGAAACAATAACCTCCGTTAAAAACTTACCACATCTACTTTGTGAACAACGGAAACCTCCTAGCTCACACCTATCTGTCCATAATGTGAGGAACAATCTTTTTCCAGGCTTATTAGCAATCCTTTGCTTGCTAACAAAACGCTCATTTAAAGCTGATGCTGCACTCTCAGAGTAGTAAAGCCACTGGGCTACTCAGAACTGCTCCTTCCTTTAAAGGCTCTCCTCCTGGAAGCCTTCTGGCACAGGTAGAGGGAAGCTGGTGAGGTTCTGTTTAGATATGGCAGTTCACACTTCCCTAACATAAATAAAATACGCAGAATTGCATCCTGATATAGCAGATGGAAAAAGAAAATATGGCAGTTCACACTTCCCTAACATAAACAAAATACGCAGAATTGCATCCTAATATAGCAGATGGAAAAAGAAGGAAGGGAAAGGTGGAACAGAGTCCACATACCAATGGTAGAACATTTAGAAATTCCCCTAATCCTCCCTAACCCACGATCAGGTCACTTGAAGATTTAGAGTATAAGCCCCTGCCTTGTTTTCTCTGTATGTAGCAGAATTCGAGCAAAATTACCTCATTAACTTGTTTTTTGTCCAAGTGAAAAACTTGACCAGAACTCGTTGAGGCAATTTCTTCATAGACCTTGTAACCAATATGATTCCTGTCATCACAGTCTCCAGTCAGTACAAATACTACCTATATTTAAAACAAAAAATTTAAAATCATTTGGCACATGGTGCAAACTTTAGGAAAACATTGCAAAGACAGCATTAAGGCATGACAACAAAAGAATTGTATCACTTGGCATGGGTTCATATTACTTTGCATGACAGACAGCCATATTGCACTCACTACCGATGGAAAAGGCAATGAAGAAGAAAAGGAACAGACAAGAATCACTATAGGAGTGATACTCATCTATCAGCACTGGTACTTCACAGAATACTTATTTCAGAACAATATAAAAACATCCACATAACTGGTAAGCTGACCAAGCATACGTATGCTGGCAGAAGGTTCACTTGCTCTATTTAATTCACAACACCGACTAATTTTACCCTTCAATATTGAGAAAAAAGGGCATTAAATACATAAACCAGCTCAGAATGTAAATCCCCTCTGTACCTGTGATTGCTTCTGTTGAATGAGTTGAAGTACTTCATGGGTAAGTCTATAATCTTTGGATCGTGCATCAGTAAATACATAGATGAAAGAACCAGGAAGAGAAATTTCTAGAGCGATCTTTATTGCCCCGATGCTCATCTCTGGACAGTCTCCACCACCCTGTTCACAATTAGAAGAAAAACAAAGGATTTTTCTAAGAAAAAAGAACATACCAGATAAGTTACTTTCTTTTGGGACATTCAAGACAGATACTTTCTCAGCTTCTAATAATTTATTGACTTTTTTTATCCTAAGCATTGTACGGTTTCTGCAGAGTGCTGTCACAGACTCACATTCACAAGCAACAGCTGTAACAATTCCTCAGGGAAAATAAAGTCAAAGGAAGGGTTGTGGTTAGCCCTGAAAATGGCTGGTCTCGTGGTCACTCTTATCTTTTCTGGGAGTACCATGTTTTGTTTAGCTCCAGCTCTTGTGACAGCTCCGTTTCCTATACTCACACGCTCCCTTACTGGCTGACAATTTAATTGCTCCGGTAGTATGCAGCAGTCATGGGAGGTCATGGTCAGAGACGCAGATGGGAAATGATCTCAGCCAAGCAGCGCTGAGCTCCAGGAGGACCTTTAGATACCAGAACAGCAAGAACTTGACCTAGACTTCACACTGCAGGGCAGCCAGTGCAGGGAGCTCAGCAGAGGGGACACAGGTGATGTGTTCCCAGTGACCTGTGTTGCTAAGTAGGCAGCTGGAGATTTTTCAGACCCTGTGTTTAATCAAAATGCTTCCAAGTATGACTTTATTTATATGAAAGGATCAGTTTCTTTTCCTAAATTAAGAATTAGAGGAAAATACTGTTTAAATAAAAGTTCACTTTAACTTACATAAAAGTTAACTTGGCATATTGAAGACAGCACTTTCCAAAGAGCTGAATAAGAACTGTAAAACCTGCCCCTGTAAACAGCAACAGATCTCTGCATTTTCAAGATCAAATATAAAAGTTACTGCTTTTATTTCTACAATCAACATGCCTTCACACATACTTATATACAAATCTCCACATGCTGGGAAGGAAGAAGAAAAAAGATAATGCAACTGTTGCATTTATTTTTAATTCTTGAGATGCCATCAGAAATTATGGTTTGAGGTTAAACATTCACACAGATACATAAACCCTTGCCTCCCACAGTCCCCCAGCCCTTAAGAATTCCATCTGTCCTCAATGAAATGTTCATGTCAGTAACAATTTTTAATCTATCAGTATCTTTAATCCCATTTCAAAGCAAGAATATCAATAGATTTCCCACCTATGTTAAAGAATAGGTACTTCGCCGTTTTTCTTTTTATAAGTTAGTCCTTTCTAAATGTAGTCTTACTTTTATGGGAAAAGCAAGTGGTAGACTCCAAACTGCCTGAAATTCAAGAGAGAATTCTCCAAAAACTCTTTGATACATTTCAGAATTTTATCTTGGCAATGCTCATACAATCCTATGGGATAGATCAGTATATCCAAGTTATTTCTTTCCTGCTCTTGCAAAATGAATGTCATCTTCAGCAAAAGACTCTCCCACATAAAGCTTTAATTTGTAGACCAAGTCAAAATAATAGCTAATTTCTACAGACACCTAGTTAGAATAAGAAAATCTCTATTCCCACTTCAAGTCTACTAGATTATTGTCTCATGTAATATTATATATGGCAGCATCTATTTTCTACATATAATAGGAAAAGCACTGCTGAGCTAAGTGGTTATTCCGAGAACAAGCATCAGCTTTTTTATTCTCATAATGTAGAAGAAGGATATTCTCAAAAGGCAGCTAGGTAGAACTACAAAACAAAAATGTATTAGCTTTCTTAAAAAAAAAAAAAGAAGAAAATTTTCCTTTAAATGTTTCCTGCCTTTCTCTCCAAATTGCAATTAAGTATGGTTACAATTACCTTGTGAAGTTTTCTAGAAAGACAGGGGTGAGTAAAGCCCAGCAAGTCTCATTTTCCATTCAGCTTGGACAGGCACACAGAAATTTAGGTTGTTAGCTCAGCTCATCTGTACTATTCACATTTCTTATGTCTAAAATTAATATCTGTAAAACTATTTACTTAAATGGTATTGTACCCACTTACAAAAGGATAAATTTAGTATCTGATTTAAAAAGTGTTATCAACAACTCTTAAAGACGACTATTTTCATTAAGTAAGTTGTCATTTTTCCACTGAGAAATGCTGAAATAAGGCCTTTTCATGACTTGATGCAAGTGTTTCAGCAGCTGTATCTTAGGATCATGTAACACTCAAACTATGTGAATATAGAATCATAGAATCATTAAGGTTGGAAAAGACCTCTAAGATCATTGAGTCCAACCGTCAACCCAATATACTTTAAAAGATTTTCATATAGACAAGATTTAAGCATATTGCTTATGCAAATAAGTATCCATTGTGAAAACCGTATTTAATACGAGAATACACAAAAAATCTGGCTAACTCTTAAAAAAAAAAAGGCACCAAGAAGCCATTGCTGCCCCAGTACAACTTATTGCCATGCTGTCCATAAGAATGATTCACAGTTAATTACAGATGAAACACAGGCAAAATAGGATCAACTTATGAGGTGTCAAAGGAATACTTCCTTTATCACTTTGAATGTAAAAGGAACAGGGCCTAGTTTCTTCAGGGAAACGTATACAGACTAATTTTTACCTGATGTTAAATGCCAGCCAAAAGCCTATTTCTAACATCGCGTACAGACCCCCCAATCATTCTGTGACTAGATGAATGTTGTTGGAAAACAAGAGCTGGGCTTATCCTGATGTCCAGGGAGGACAAGTTTTGCAGTATTCCTGGAGAGCATATTTTGACCTAATATGTTTTACACATAAGACTCCTTAAAAAAATTTATCTTCACCTTAATTTTAGCTTTGTTCATTAATGAGAATATTTGCTCTACACCCTTTTTCAAAATGAACCTACCTTAAAATTTCCCCTACCTCCACAATATTCATTCTTGCATCTTTTAACTGTCTTTCTAGGAAAAATACTAATAACAAACATGTAGGAAGAGTTCACATTTTCTGGGAGAACTACTGCAAGGTAACCTATCAGTCCTGTTCTAATCACTTTTTTAATTTATGTTTTGGCCCTTCACCAATATAATGAATGAATGCAAGTCAGTGAAAGTCTTAATTTAGCTGAATGAGCACATCTTGAAAGTAATTACGAAATATGCAATCAATCAGGATTAAAGAAAGAAATCTTAAATTCATTAGTAACTTTTAGACAACTTGCTTGTAAATGAAGAGTTTTAAATTCCTAAAAGCTTCATCTAAATCATATACCTTTTAGAAATAGCTGCAATTATTTTCCAATATAGCTATTTAGAAAACAAAAATTGGAAGGATCTTTACAGTTTAAATTTCCCTATGAAGGAAAAAAGCATAATAGCTGGCATTTTCTGCCTCCTTGAAAATTTACTATTGTTTTCTCTGAAATTCAATCTTTCTGCCAACTTTTAAACCACTTAACTCTTCCCAAACTAACACTATCGGCTTTCAAACAATCTTCTATTACAGGGATTACACCATGTGCCAGTTTCTAAGGGAGAGTCTGTCTGGCACTACTAACTCCGGCACGGTTCTCCACAGGTCAGAAGCATTTTGCTTGATTAAAAGACAAGACAATAGGATCATATTTTCTTTCAGCAAGGGTAACTCCATTCCAATACTTCTCTTTCCTTCGATCACCCAATCCAGATGTCATTTGTGGTTCATTCTCACCCAGGGAAACTCCACCAAGGGACACACGCTGGTGTGCTTGCTCAAAAACTGCCACTTGTCTCCTGAGCACAGTGGAAGCAATTCACAGGGTTTGCATAAGAGAAAAGTACCCCAGTCAACCTGATGCTTTTGAATCAGTAGGTGCTACCTAAGGCATGGCAGTGAAGGCAGTACCTAAGTCGTACTTGATGGGTCTTACAGTCCCTTTTGTTCGTAAATTAGTTAAAGCTAACGAAGGGTTTTCATGTGAAGCAAGTTCCAGAACACAGTAAAACAGTTCACAAAAGTGTCTGTGAACAAGTGGCAGGGCTAATTAAAATGCAAAATAAATGTTAGCATTATCTAACTATTCTTTCTTGTGTTATTGAACTGAGTCCCCATACAATGATGTAAATTAAGGCAAAGTAATTAATCGTAATCATGAATTAAGATGACCAGAGAAAAGGAGGATGACAGTTTGTGCAGGTAAAGTGACAGAGATAAATGGCCTTCATCCTGATGAAGCATTGTAGCAGAAACATCAACATGAGAGGAAAGATTAGAGGGAGGAAAGAGGTCCTTTGCTAGAACCACACAGAGAACGAATGAACAAGTTACTCACCTGAACATACAGTTCCCTGAGTTCAAATTGAAATTTCTTGGGATCTGTGGTTATTGTCACTGGACCAATTTCTAGGATGAAAGAAATTGGAAAACATGAGGAAAACACAAAGTTATCAAAAGATGACTTCAAGTGAAGAGCTGTTTCAGACTCCTAAAAATCTGGTAGTGAAAAACAAACTAAAAGCATTTAACAGAAAGGAATAATTGCAAATTATATACCCAGCACTGAAATCTATGAGTCCAAATCTAGTAACTCCAATATCATTCCAGTATTACCAACTTCTAGGTGTCTTAAACATTTGTAGGCACATAAAGCATTCTGTGTTGTGTTTCTTTCACATTTGATTTTGACCAATCATTTAATTGCTCTTAGTAATCAGAAGGGAACAGAAATCCCCAAAACAGATGTGGCTGCACCAAAAAATAACGTATTTTTCCAGAAACAGTTGTATAGGAAAATGTGAAGGAGAGGCCTCTCTGAACAGAATACACATACTAGCTTCACTGACTGATGTTTAAAAAAAAAAAAAAAGCACCACATCTTTTGCCTGACGGAATATGTACCCTCTAGCTGGAAAAGCCCGGTGTGAGCCCAGTGTCCAACCTCAGCGTATCTAGCAGCAGTTGCCAGGAAGAACTGAAGCAGAATCAGCTTTATTCGTGGTGTTTGCCATGTCTTTGTACACTGCGAAACAGCAGGACATCAAATTGAAGTCGACTGGGCTGTGGACTGGGGTGTGTGAGTAACAGCAGCACATATTTGAGCATTTCCCAATCACACTAGCTGTACCACAAGCCTCCCTCTGCCCCTTCAACAACTGCCTTCCTAATTGGTATCAAATGTGATTCTAACCAGCTGTTTTCCTACAGCTGTGATTTCCTGACAGTTTACCTTAATCTGTCCTGGCACTCATGCACTTCATTCTTTCCCTGTCCTGGGCAGGCATTCCTACTCTGTCC